AATTTACTTTTTTTTTTTTCAGTGGCCCTAATCCTCTTCCGTACCTGATGTGTCAAATATTTACAGGACCTTTTTTCTTTTTGTTTTTTCCTTCATCATAGATGCATTAGGAGGCGTGCCGGACCGGGCCAGGCCGGACCGGACCAGGTTACGCTCCGGATCCTTATAGCTTCATGTGATCTCAAAGGGAGGCGTTTGACTGGAGAGGGGTGGGGGTTGGAAAGAGTTATTTTTCCAGGATCCATCCCGCAGTAGTTCAGAGCTGACCTCCGCTCGTTTGGGATATTTTCTCTTTCCGTCCGGACGGTGACGCGCTGCAGATCCGATTATGGGAGACGCTCAGTCTGCGCAACGGGAGGCCAAAGGCGATGCAGCAGCGGAGGAGGAGGAGAGCGGAGAAGTGAAGGATGTGCAGGACGTCGACAACAAGGTAACAGCATCTTTCCTACCGGATAAGTTCTGTTATGGATCTGTTCTGTCAGAAGTCGCATGCAGGGAATTCACCTGTTATAAAGTGTGCAGAGGTGCCATAGAGATGGGCTGATGGGTTAAAAGCAGGGGAAGATGCTGAGGCTGGGTTCTGCTGCTGGCAGGACAGCAGCTGGTGCTGCAGAGCAGGATTGCTCTTTAAAACCAAAGGATGGCTGTACTGTAACATCTAGAGGTCTGGAAATTTGTCCGATTGAATGAAATAATCCCACTTTTGCTGAAGTTTTGAAGACTGACTTCCATCTGTGTTATTTTCTTCATGATGGAGTAATTTTGAATTTCCTAAGGGGAGGGGAAACTCACTCCTAGAAAAACAAAAGTAAAGCCCAGGGGAAGGATAATATTCCTTCTCTGCTGCACTCAGCAGAAAGCAACATTGATTATTTATGTAAAGCATTATTACCTGGACCAGATGGACAGGATGTCTAACATGATGCACTGTTCTGTCACAGTGAAAAAAGGCATAAATGCGTCAAGCAGCTGATATGTTTAACTTTATCTCAGTATAAGAGCATAGCAACCATCTAGATCTGTTAACATGACTCTTAACTCGTAAACAGTTGTGAATAGAAATATTTTAGAACCTATAAAAACTTCCTTATTAAGTTTGTAACAGCAATCATTTGGTGGTTTGGATCAAAATTAGTCATCAGGGAAACACCATCTCAACATGAATTATAGTGGTGAAGGAATCATGCTTTTCTTCTGCAGGGAAAAGGACGCTGATTAGAGTTCATTAAACATAGATGGAGCTGAATGAAAGGAGAACCTGGAGGAAAAAAGGCTGTAGAAACTAAAGGTGGGGGTTCCCTTTAGACATGAACAATTAGAATAGATGATGTAGAGCAGGGGAGTCTAAAATGTTGCCCCAGAATTCAAGAATCATGTAAATATTGTCAGTCCAGGTGGTAGATGCAGATACATGTTTATGAAATGTTAGGTTGCTATTTTCCATTACAGAAGACCTTGAAAAAGGGGTTAATAAAACATTTAGTTCGGACTATGTAAGAGTAAACACAAAGGACCAGGTTTGGATTTCAATTTATTTAATTCAACAGTGAAAAAAGTGATCTTATACATCCACCAACTTTCACTGAAACGACTTGGCTGTTAACTGTTGGGTTGAAAAAATGTATTCATTTTAACTTTTTCAATTTCTAAAACATTTAACCAAATTTTGTACTCTAAACGTCCCGTTTTTAAGCCTTAAAGGTTTACACATCATTTGCTTAGAGTAAAGCCTATTCCTGATATTTATGGCCTAGTCCGAGGGTTTGCAACCTTTCCAATCCAGAGGGCCATTTTCCACCTCAGTCTAACTGGATTTAACTTTTTTAGATCCATTAAAGAAACACAATTTTTAATAATAAACTTTTAAAAAGGGAAATTTATATTTTTTGCCAGACATCTTTAATAGGGAATGCAATAATCAAAGAATAATCAAGTTAACTTTTATTTTTAGATTTCGAAATAAAGATTAACAGTTTTTTTGCATAAAGAGGACAGAGACGTTTTCTTCCTGAGGGTGTTATTATTAGTAAAAAAAAAAGTAACCTGATAAACCAGACTAAATGTGAAATTAAATGTGTAATTTAATCTGGCCCGGATTAATGAGATATCGGAAGATTGTTGATGAGAACAACCCGTTGACTTCAAAAAATGTCTGTGCCTATTGGCCAACGCTCTGACCAATGAGAGCAACTGACTGTGACGTAGTAAGCGTGTCAAAATGCTGGTGGGGGGGTGTAAACAAACAGCCTGTCTGTAAAACGGCGAATATGTCCTTCTTAAAAATGAATGAGCGTAGAGCCGCTTCCTGCTTACGTTTCAACGAAAACCCAAAGTCTAATCCTTCCAAAGCGGAGTGAAACGAGAACTGTTCAATAGTTGTTTCCATCTTCCTTGTTGCGCTTTCTCCAGGGTCGCGCAGCTTTGTCGTCACGGCCTCAAAACCCCACCCGCTTTGCATCCAAAAATTCAAAACACATCTCTGCATTGTGATTGGCCCGCCAGTTGTAGGGCCTGAGGCATTGATTGAGGCTAGACCACTTACATCCAAAAAAGATTTTGGCTGCCGGCGGGTAGGGCTAGTTTACTAGGCTAGTAAAAAAAGAACAAAACAAAACAAAACC